CATCTGAGTCCAAAGGAAAAACATAGATCAGGAAGACTGGTCATGGCCCCAGATGCAGTGGGAGACCCTGGCCTTTTTAAGGTCTTTCCCAGGTCTCAGTTTGTCTGAGGCAACACCTGTTCAGTGATTAAAGCTGTTAATAGGATTTTACTGAGTCAGTCTTTAACCTGAGAATGAAAATACAACAGGCCAGAGACAAAGTATCAGTAATCAAGTAGCGGTTTAATGAATCGGTTTCATAGTGAGGAACAGATCTGCAAATTGGGAATTCTCCAGATCAGAAGTCCATCTTGCTAAAGTGAAGACAGAGATTATATATATAAATTACAATAGGTAGTGTGTGTGTGTGTTTGGGGGGGGGTGTTGTTGAAGGTGAATTTCAAACAATCATTTTTTCCCACAGCCTAAATTCCCACAAGCCCACAAATCCTGCAACCACTAAGGTACAGGTGTCCTGAAGTCCTGTGGGAACACTATTGTTTCAGGTCTTTGGGGGTTGTTACTTGGTGGGTCACAGGACCAGAGTTCTGTGACCAGAACAAGTTGTACAGTCTTTAACTTGCTTCACTTAAGGTACACAGGCACAAGAATGCAGTGATTATGAGCATTGTCAAGGGTTTGACTGATCATTTCAAGCTGCATTGTGAGCTTCTGACTCACAAGCTAGAAGAAGTAATTCTGAACGATCTAAATTAATAGCATATTTATTACACATATATTGATTATTATGAAAATCATAATTCCCTTCACAAAGGCTAGGCAAGAATTGAGGCAAAAGATGGCCTAGTTTGACTTCACAAAATAATCAGTTTGGGAGGGGAAGACCCTCAGAGTTTCTGGTCAAAACAGAAATAATTCCTATTTACATTCACTCTGAGCCATCAAAACTCAGACAATGAGCAAGTAAGGCTTGGGCTGGGACCTAGTATTGGCCAATCAATGAGAGCCCAAGTGATTTGGGTTTAAAGGCATGTCAAGTAGCTCCATTTGAATCCCAGTGGGATTTATCAAAGCCTAATTTACCAGAGCTATATTTCAAGAAATCATAAATAAAGACTACATGAGACAAAGTTAATTGTCCCAGTTTTTTTGGGGGAAAAATGATAGAATAAATAGTGAAGAAAAAAATCTATCCCCCAAACCCCAAGATATCTTGGGGAGTGTAAGTGATCAAAATTTATAAACCTTTGGTAAGAAAATGCACATGTAAGGGTATTACTCCTCACAGGGACAGAGGGAGAAGAAGAGGAGGAAGAAGAAGAGGAGGAAAGGAAATATCAACATTGCCCAACTGGAACTGGCCAGTTGGGTCTCCATGGGGGCAGCTACTACTACTCACAGACTGTTATTTGTCCTTTGTTCTCAAAGAGGACCAGTGATATCAGGAGGGTGATGTCTTGACTTGCAAGTGAATTAGATTTAAGGGAGGCAGGGCTGTGCAAAGTCATCAGCCTCACTCTCTCCTCCAGAGTCCAGTCATAAAATAGTCTTGTGGCCAGAGCAACAGTTTTTATGTTGACCAAAAGAGCTACATTCCTAGTGTGTACCCTGTAATTTAGTGTAAGGAAACATCCTAGTGCTAGAACTACAGGTATTAGATATCCCAAAGAGTGGAAGTTTGCACGGGAGAGAATCCCATGTGGTTGGAATACCATTTTCTTAGTAACATGGAGTTTGAAATTTAAAGCTCTGCCTGGGTCTTTCTTACCCATTAGAAAAGTAAGCTTTTGTAACACTGATACTTTTAACTGCAGAGGTTAGGAATATTTCCAAGTTTTTTCTCTCTGGTTTATATAAACCTCAATGAGGCCTATACAATCCCATATCTACCACTCACTGGATTAAAAGTGTATTGTTACATGGGAATGACTTGAATCTGTACTTCAAAGCTCAAAGTGGGGAAACTCCCTCTATAGATGCAGATAGCAAACCCTCCTATATCTTAGCAGACAATATTTCAAAGATAATATAGCCAAAAAATAATAATTAACCTGAGAGCAATCTAAGCCTGTTAGAACTTAGCCTAGTCCCTAGACAATAGGCATATGGTTGATCGTTAGGCTCATTCTCAGAGTTTTTCTCCTGACTAAATTCAGTCTATATCTATGTCCGTTAAGGACCAAAAAAAAAAAAGCTTACTTTCTTCTTTCCATCATTTTTTCATCTAGCTTTTACCCAGCCTTAAGTTATTAGCTAATATATACAACATCTTCATTCCATTTCGAGCTGAATAAAGTTGACCAGAAGAAGAGTTCAAATTTTACCTCTGTTACTTACTATTCTTATGGCCTTGGGTAAATAAGTCATTTAACTTCTCTCAATGTCAGTTTCCTCCTTTGTAAACTGAGGAGGGGGTGGACTATATGACCTCTGAGGTCCTTTCCAACTCTAAATCTGTGGTGCTCTGATCCTGTGACCCTGGAGCTAAAATGATATCTCACTTACCCATATGGTATCACCACAACTCTCCAGACCACAGCTAAGAAGCAGGAAAGGGAACACTGATGTCTGAGAAGTTAAAACAGACGTTACAAAGTCCTTGAATTAAAAATCATGTACTTTAGTCACAGGAGTTCCATTGGTTTCGTCACCCAAAGTTTATTGTCCCTTCATTTAAATCTAATTCTAACAGATTTGAATATCCAATTTCCCAGGCAGACACTAATATTAGAAAGAGCACCAGATTTGGGGAGGTGGCTGCTAAAGAATGGAACACTGAGCAGCAATGGTGAAAGCACCGAACTGTGAAAAAGAAAAAGAAAAAACTGACAACCATAAAATGGAAATGAATAACCCACAAGCCTACTCTGGCTCTGGTATATTTGAGTAAAGTGACACACAGCCCTCTATTGCATGGCCGAATTACAACCAGTCAATAAATATTTCTAATCGTGCCTCTGAAGAATCAAGAAAAATTTACATGATGTTCAGTTAAGCATATTTCAAATGTCAGAGAGGTGTTTTGCACATTTTAGAGAAAATTTGTTCTTTTTCATTGAATACTAAAACTAAATACATAATAAGAAAAATATATAAACTTAAATATTAAAACTTAAATATAAAATAAGAAAAAAATGTTATGGGCACAGCAGAACATGAAAGAAGGTTAAGAATATATAGCAATGAATTTCCATTTCGATAAAGCCTACATATTAAATACTGTACGTTGTGTTAAAAGCTGTCCATCTTTTCTTTGCTTCCCTGTAGGCTTTCTTGTATTCTCTGCTGCACACTTTTTATTTTATTCTTTGTTCCCCCTTCCTCCTCCCTCCCTCCCAAGCTACAATTAAATGTGGAGATATATATACACATACATATAAATATATACTTTCCCTAATAGATTCTACTTTTAATCTTTGTTTTTGTTTGTGCATATCTCTTATTTCCAATCCCTCCTGACTCCTCTAATTTATTTCTACCTCCTACCTTGCCCTACTATTACTTAACTTACCTCCCCAAAATTCCTCCCTTATCCTCCTTTAATCTAAACATCTTTCTATATCCCCTTTATCCTATTCCTTCACCCTCCCCTCTAAAGAGCTCTCCCTTATCCTCCCTCTCACCTCCCCTTAGCGTTTTATCTTTTTTTCTAAATTTAGAAGACTTTTATACTCTTCTAGATATATATGTATTGTTCCCTCTTGAATGCATTTCCTATGAAAACAGGTTTCCAGAACTACCACCCTCCCCCATCTAATTCCTCTGTGTCAGTTCTTCCTCTCACACCTCATTTGTATAAGATAATTAATCTTTTTAGCTGTTCCTGAACTGTTTTGCTTTTTGAAGTCATATCATGCTCAGGTCTACCCGCTCTTTCTTATGAACTACCCAATTGCTAATAACAATCGTAGACACACGTTTTACATTTTACATACATTAAAAAGTAAACAGTCTGTCCTTATTGAGCCCAAAATATTTCTGTTGAAAGTGCTGAAAGTTTTGATGCTAAGAAAGGAAGAATTCACTTATATGCGACAGTTCCCTTCTTGATAATACCAGATAAATTAATTTTACCAGATAATAAAAGATAAATTAGCTAGTTTAAGTAAAGTAAATCTTCATTTAAACCTTCCTCTAGAGTGATGCTCAGGGGTTCTTGCATGGTTTCATATATTTGTTTAGCCCAAAGTAGTTTTTTCACCCCCTTCCATCTCCCATTTTTATTAGAAGTGAGAGAAGACCCTTGTTCAGCAGGGTAGCTCATTAGTTTAAGTCTTTTTTTTTTTTACAGAGTTACAATCTGTATGGGTTTTTATGACCTCATCTGTAAAATAAAAAGGGGAGGGTGGTTACATCAGGTGCTCTCTCAGGTGCCTTTTAGCTCTCAAATCCCATGACATTATACTAAAAGCTCAGCAATGGAGGAAAAAGCATTGGAAGCAGACTCTTCTTTACTTTCTCTCAATGAGTGACATGATCAAAAGGCTGTTTTAGGAAGGTTACTTTGGTAATGGTGTGAAAGATGAATTGTAAAGGACACAGTCTAGGAGCATGCATGTCAGTCTGGAGACTACATCAAAAAACTGATTCTGAGGTTAGAATGACCTACAATTCACAATGTATGTATCTTACATATAGACAACTTTTTGGGTGGTGTCTAGCCCCATTGGAATACAAGCTCCATGAAGGAAGGGACTATTTCTTTCAACCTTTCTTGATTATCCCCAGCACTTAGCACAATGTCTGGCACATATTAAACACTTTATCATTAAGAGTGTTTAATAAACGTTTGTTGACTTGACTTATAGTAATCAGGGACAAGTCCAGGCCAATGACAGTGTAAAAAGAAAGAAAGAAAGAGACATGAGAGATATTGCAAAGACAAAATTCATGCTTCTATAGCCAAGGTCTGGTTATAAAAGGAAGGCAAGAGAAAAGGAGGTCGAATGGTTGAACAATAGTGATAAAATAGTGGGTAAAGCCCCCTTGAGATGAAAATAGAAGAAAGGCAATTACGTTTGACCAATAGAAAGTAACCAGACAATCTGAGTATATCCAGTTTTAGTTGAGTGATAGGATCACAAATGAATTTTACTTTATTTTTCCAAAAGAAATTCAATGACATGAATCATTATTATTAATCTGGAAGAACATATATATCTTCATCTGGAGGCATATTGAGACAGTGAGGTTTCTGGAAATTATAATATTCAGATGAAAACTCATTTCCATATAAATGCTCAGAATTAAATTGGGCTGTATTTTCATAAAGATCTGTCAAACATTCCTCTGCACAGCTCACAGGGCCAGTTTCCACATTTTCGTAGCTCTGGTCCATGTCATCTCTGGACAAAGGAGATGGCTCATCTTTTATTTCGCACGGTGAAAAGCGCTTTGGACCGGTGTATTCAGAGGGGGGACGTGGGGTATGCGGTGCATCAGCGTCATCCTGATCCCTTTTCTTTTGCAAAAATATTGGCAGGGCAAAATTACTTGTATGGTGGTAGAATTTCCAATAGCAGGCCAACCCCAGGCCACAGAGGAGTAGAATTGCAAGCAGAAGAGTGACAATGAGAGGCACAAGTTCTGACCCACCTGCACATTTTTCAAAAGTGTCATCATCACAGGCATTAGACCACAGACTAAATTTCATCCTTAAGATACAATCCAAGCTACATATTTTCAGTTTCTTGTTTTGCAGAATTGAATTTGGTAGATAATTTAGCTTATTTTCTTTCAAGTAGAGATGTACATCTTGGGAGGTATTAAAGAGGAACTGATCAGGTAAAGTCTCTATTTGATTAGAAGACAAGTTGAGTAAAGCCAGACACGGCAGATCGTTCCCTTTGTATTCTATTTGTTTCACATCACAGTTATTCAGGTATAGATTATGGAGTGATTTATTGATGGCATCCCAGTCCACTGTTTTATTCTTCACGTACTCACAATGTGAAGTCGAAAGGGATGGGTGAAGATGGTATAGAAGAAAATGCAAAAAGAAAGCTGAATGATCTGTCATTTGGAAACCTACAACAAATTATAGATATATTAGGTAAATGACTATTACAAAGCCCATGAAGGAAAAAAATCTCAGTGATCTTCTTTCTTTGACTTTGTGTAGGACTAAGAAACTGATCAACCTTTACTCTATGTAGAGCCCTATTGAAAACAATTGTTTCATTTTATATTTTAAGTATGGCTTATGTTAATGTGTATATTGTTAATTATTGTTGTTGTTTGGTCATTCAGTCATGCCACATTCCTTGTGACCCTATGAACCATACCATCCATCGGGTTTTTTTGGAAAGGATGTTGGAGTGGTTTGCCATTTCCTTCTCCAGTGGATGGAGGCAAACAGAGATTAAGTGACTTGCCCAGAATAACACAGTTAGGAAGTGTCTGAGGTTGAATTTGAATTCAAGCCTTCCTGACTTCAGACCCAGTGCTCTATCCACTGAGCCACGAGCTGCCTCCATACTGTTAATTAGCAAATGACAAAAAAAAAGTGATGTAAATCCAACAGGGGAAAAATAATGGAACAAGGACATGCCCTGAACCCACTACCAAGACCCGAGAAAGCTTGCCTCAGCAAGACCTGGGTTCAAGTACAGCCCCTGACACATCCTGGCTATGTGATCCTGGGCAAATCATTTAACCTCCCAGCGTCCTAGGCAATTCCTTAAGATGCTAAGTTGCAGAGAACCTGCCCTGGTACAGGGAATTTTTTTATCCAGGAATTCTTTATACCAATGAAACCACAGAGAAAGAGGGAAAGGGAATAAGCATTTGTATGATTTCTATTATCACCAGGAACTGTGATAAGCACTTTACAAATATTATCTCATCTGATCTCACAGCAACCCTGCAAGGTAAGTGCTGTTACTATCATTTTATGGTTGGGAAAACTGAGGCAGAAATTAAGTGACTTGCCCAGGGTCACACAGCTAAGTGTCTAAGGCTGGATTTGAACTAAGGTCTTCCTGACTCTAGACCAAGTGCTAAAGCCACTACATCACCATCTGCCTTTACAAGTCCCTATCCATAGCCTATCCCTAATACCTTTACTATTTAATGCTGTATAGCCTAGCCATATCTATGATTGTTGTTGTTCAGTTGTTTCAATCATGCCTCTCTTCATGACTCCATCTGGGGTTTTCTTGGCAAAGATCCTGGAGTGGTTTGCCATTTCCTTCTCCAGATTATTTGACAGATGAGGAAACTGAGGCAAACAGGGTTAAGTGACTTGCCCAGGGTCATGCAGCCAGTAAGTATCTGAGGTCATATTTGAACTTAGGAAGAAGAATCTTCCTGACTTCAGGTCTAGCACCTAGCTGCCTCTAGCTAGCTATATAGATATCTTATTCCCCTACTAGATTATAAACTCCCTGAAGGAGTAGTGGCTACCATCTAAATTGTGTGTCTCCTCAAGTATCTAGTATAGTGTTCTTCACATAGCATTAGTTTTAAAGTGTTTTCTGACTAATAGCTTCACTTTTGACTACTTTTGGCTCTAAAATCTAGCACAGGGGTGAGGAACCTATGGCCTTAAGACCACAAGGGGCCTCCTAAGTCCTTAAGTGCAACCTTTTGACTGAATCCAAATTTTACAAAAGGCTGCACTTAAGGACCTAGCAGGCCCCATGTGACCTTAAGGCTACAGATTCCCAGCCCTGCTCTAGGATTTGTTGCTGTTGAGTAAATGATTTGGGAATTTTGGAACATTTCCTGGAAGCGGTATGTGGGATATTAAAGGGGTCAGTGGAATTGAAAGGTAACACGGGGTAATGGGGAAGAGCACTGAATTTGAAATCACAGGACCTGAGTTCAAATCCTGGCTCTTCTGTTTACAACCCGAATAAACTTGGGCAAATCAATTAGCCTCCTTCTCCTCAGTTTCCTCATCTGAAAAATGAGGAAGTTGAACTAGATGATCTCTGAATTCTCTTCCATCTCTTCCATCTCTTAATCTATGCTCCTATCACCCTTAGCCAAAAGAAATATGAAAGTTCTCCCTTTTCACCTTTCCTCACGTAAGACTTCCCTGCAAAGGGAAAGTAATTAGGTTTTAAAGAATGGAGTGATTGTATTACAGGATAAGTATATTATTGGACATGACTTAATTTTGATCAACAGAACAGTCTTGCTGCGAGTGTTTACTCCCTTGTAATGACACTAATTATAAAAAATAATAACATTGTAATGACAATAGAATTTTATTTATTTGTCTTGTCTTTTTAAGTCTTTCTGAATGGCTAAAAAATACCCTACATTTCTTGTTTGATCAAGACTACATGCTAACAACGGTGAAGTTTAACTAGCAACAAAGTAGTGTTATCATTCTTTCAATAGCTACTTATTAATTACACTTCAAACTTTTCTCACAGAAAAAAATGATGTACCATTATTTTAAAAAGCTAATGTATTAAAAATCAGTTATCACTTCCCTATTTCTCATTGTAATGGGAATAATAGTCAGGAAGTTTTTTTTAAATTTTTAATTATTTTAATTTTTATTAGTTTATTTTAATTAATTATTTTTATGTTCAAAATATAGGAAGAAATACTTCAGCTGCATCAACTCCTCTGCTAAGAACTATGCATGTATGGGAGAGCCCTGATAATTCTGCCCTGTGAGCACAAAAGACTCAGATTCATCTAAGACTATCACTTAAAAGAATAATGATAATAACTGATATTTAGGGCTTTCAGATTTACAAAGCTCCTGTGGCGCTTGGCACATAGAAATCACTTAATAGATTTCTTTTTAATTAAGTCATTCGTATACTGTTACTTTTGAAGCTTACAATAACCCTAAGAGATAATTCTCTCTCTCCTCCTGCCTTCTCTCTACCTCCTCCTCTCCATGTATAGATACAGATATATACAGATGACATCAATGTATAAATATTCTTCATTTTAGAGATACAAGATTCCAAATTTGAGGCTCACAGAGCTTATGCAGAAGGGCAGCATGCATTCTGTTACATGTGGCAGCCAATGCCTAGCAAGTGCTTAACCTTTTACTGTTTCCCATCCAAAAAATTAAAATGGATAAAATATAGAGTGATGTTATGTGGATTAAGCAATTGCTGATCACAGAATTATTTGCCAGTGTTATTCTCAGTTTAAGAACTTACTCACCCTTGTAAAAATCAGTTAAAATAATATTCTCTCCCCACTCCCATGCAAAGAAAAATGTCATGATGTATCTTTCCCCTGGGTTGTTTTTACTACGGGTGTTGTTCTGGGTCAAGTATTCATTCCCCTCTCCAAAACGAGACAAAACAAAAATAAAAATCTAGTTTTCATTGGTAAAATTAAGACATTGGTTATTTATAAATCAAATTTATTTCATTATTCTTCTTGGACAAGAGCTTACCTTTTAGATTGACGGGACACAGTCTGCTTTTCCCCCTTCTCTCAGGATGATTTTTGACCCAACTTTGTTTCTGTGCCTTCGTTTCTCTCCTTCCTCTTTTTGACTTGACAGTGTGGTTATAGTCTTGATCACACCCTCCTTTCAGATTGTTTCTTCACAGTTTGCATGCTTTCCTTATATTAGAGGAAGTTCACATCAGATGCATCAAGGTGAGATAAGTGCTGCAACAACTGGTCTTTCAATACATTTAAAGTGTTTCTTGGTTAATAGAATTTTGTTTTGTTTTGTTTTAAACATAGATGGTGACATTAGCTTTTTATTCAAGATATACTCATAAATTACCTAGTCAAGGAAAACCATTTCATTCTCCTTCAAACTTTTGCAGTGATGTAGTAGTTTCCTTTTGAATAAATTATTCTTGCTAATGAAGAGCTAAGATCCATTGTTTCAAAGTCTGGCAGCACTCTCTAAATTTTGACTGCTTACAGCAAAGCCTTGGTGCCTGATTCAGTAACGGAGAAATCAATTGACCCAAGGAAACTTTTGGGAAGAGTATATGTGCAGCTATTTGGGTAAACCAGTCTTCTCATGGGTAAATGTCCTTTGTGTTTCACCAGTGTCCTGACCCTGTGAAAAGGAAGATAGAGGAGAAGAGCATTAACTGCCTTATATCTATATCTTTTTCTTTAATCAGTTCATATATATATAGTGGCTACCCTGAAAGGGGAGCAGGTGTCAGTTCACTGACATTTAGTCAGTTACATCTATGACATTTATGTCAGTTCACATAATTTAAAAAGAAATTTAAAGAATCATAATTCTTTTAAATAGTTTCCACATTGCATATTTGTAAAAAGCAGTCAGGGATCTGCCACTTCCCTGTAGGGGAATGCCTGAGAGTTGCAGATGTCACAATTACTTTTCATGCATTAATATTAAAAGAAGGAACTAAGAAAGAGATGGTAGAAGAGATGTAAGAAATAAAGCCTAAGGGACAGAAGAAGTGAGAGCAATTAGGAATGAATAAGGAGAGAAAATTCAACAAACTCAATTTAGTTTAATAAACATTTAATAAATTCTATATGTAAAACTCTGCTAAGTTCTGGAAATAAAAAGATTAAATAAGACCTAGTTCCTGACCTCAGGAAGTTTATAATCTAATAGGGTGAATGATACAAATATGTAAATAACTCTAATGCATGTTATAATATGATACCTGCAAAGAAGAGGTTTAAGTAGAATGGTACAAGAGATTGAAAAAAGGGAGGATCAGGGGAAGTTTAATGGAGCAGAGGTGGGGCTGGTAAATGTTTAACAAGTGGCTCTGTGAAAAAAATGAAAGGTAACATAATTTTAACATTTTCTTCACCACTTTTTTAAGTCTAGACAATTAACAAAACAATAAGACAAGCCCAGGTGTGTAGTGAGATTTCCAAGGTACAAATACACATATACCAAAAATTTAACAATTACTTCTCCCTTACCAGTTAGAACTAGCTCCAGCACACCACTGGCCTTGAGGGAAGGGAAGGATTTCAAGAGGTGGAGATATAAGGATGAGATAATTTCACATACATAAAAATAGAGGCAGAAAGGCCAGAATGAAATCAAGATGGCAAAAGTCTAGTAGAGTTAAATGGACTTGGAACTGGTTAAGAACTGGCACAATGGTTAATAGTTTTAATTAGTGGATTGGTGCTAAACCACTTGGAGGCCCCTAATAATGTACCAATAGAATCTTTCCTTCACTTTGACCTGAAAAAAAAAAAAGCATGGCTTCATCATGAACATGCCATTTCATTTTTTGACAGAATAAACAGATCAGAGGTATTTTTTAGATACGGTATTTGTCAAATACCTAGATTTGACAAAGTACAATTCATTTCTTGTGGACAAGAGAAAGACATATAAGTTAGATGATAACAGAGGCAAGCAGATTCACAGATTCTCTGAATCTCAGAGTTGGGAAGCTAGCAGGCCTTAAAGTCTAATCCACACCTGAATAAAATTTCTCTCTACAATGTTCCCCAAAAATAGTCATTCAGCTTTTGCTTAGAGATCTCTAGGGAGGTGGGTACCACTACCTCCCAAGACAATGCCTTCCACTTTGGGATAGTTTCGAGTTCTAGGAAGTATTTTTCTTAAATCAATCTAAAGAAATTCTAAAGGAATCATCAATTCTTTAATGACTGAAGAATAGAGGAAAATTCCATTATACTTTTACTTTATCTGCTGTGTATGACTTGCCACGAATAAAAACCCATATTTTGAACGATTAAATATAATGTCAACCCCACTGTCAGGGATTTGAAGAAGTGAAAGAGGAGAAATGATCTTTTGTATAGTAAAAAGACTATTAGCATTTTATATTTTAGCCGACTATCCTGTTTGCTAATCTCCTTAGAGGACACTCTCTATCCTATCTACCTGGAATGCATACCTTCCTCATCTACGCCTTTAAGAATCCCTAATTTCCTTCAAAGTTCTGCTCAAGAACCTTTCTCTATGCTTCCTGTCTCCTTCTCCACCCTCCCCCATCCCCTCTGCCAAAAAAACAAAAACAAAAACATATGTCTTTATTTTCTAGATGCAACAGGGATGTTAGTTTCCTCCCCACCTGCAGCTCAGACCATTCCAAGTCCCAGGCTACCATGCGCAATCATGGGGGCCCTGCTTCTGGGTATGTATGACTCAAAACTAAAGGACTTGCATTATGTGTTGTTAGAGTCCCCTGGGCTGCAGAACAGGAAGATTTGATGACTCAGTAAAGGTACAAAAGTGACTTACCTGGTCCTTCATTCTCTCCCCCTTTCTGGCTTCAAATCGTGTAAGACTGATTCAAGTTTTCTTCTAAGAGTTTGGTTAGGGAGGGTCAAATAAACCATTTCTTTACCTTGGCTTCCATTAGACCACAGGTGGGGAACGTTCGGCCTCAAGGCCACAGGTAGCCCTCTAGGTCCTCAAGTGCAGCCCTTTGACCGAATCCAAACTTCACAGAACAAATCTTCTTAGTAAAAGGATTTGTTCCGTAAAACTTGGACTTAGTTAAAAAGCCACACCCAAGGACCTAGAAGGACACTTGTGGCCTTGAGACCATGGGTTTCTCACCCCTGCATTAGACCACGTGAACATAAAAGCTAAAGCAACTGTGGTTCCTAGGAAAGCCTAAAGCTGGGCTTGAACTACCTTTTTTGGTGTTTGTTCTTTTCCGAACTTAAGTGAGTAAGTATCTCGAGATGGACATGCCCAGATTTGGAAATGACCTTATGGATTTCACAAATCCAGAGGCCATGAGTCCCAATAGGTTGAAGCTGACTGGTAGCAAGGGAAGTTTCTTCATCAGAAAGCATGGTTACCAGTGAGGTGATTGACCCACCCATGGCCATTTTTCCCAGCAGATATATACAAACAGAATTGTTCAGAAAGTACTGAGCCTAGGTGAAATTTAAAATGCTTAATTAGCAATTCTGCAGACTATTTTATGTTCTAATGAAGTTTAAGTATCAGTGACCCCAGCAGAAGTTATATTACTGGGTTCTTTTTTAAGTTTCTGTTTTGTTAATTCATGCTTGTGATTATCCTGTGTACAACATTTTCTATGTCTATTGAAGGGCAACTAGGTGGCACAGGGGATACAGTGCTGGCCCTGGAGTCAGAAAAATTCATCTTCTTGAGTTCTAATCTGGCCTCAAAAACTCCTGAGGCTCTACCCCTCCCAGATATCTTTGTGATGATAAATTGGGCCATCTTTTGTCTCAGTTCTTACTTGGCTCCTAGTCATTGAATGGGCAGGAGCCTCAGATAAACTGAGACTTGGGAAAGACCTTCATTTAGAACGGCCAAGGTCACCCAGTGCATCCTGGGCCACTTTCAGTCATCTTGACCTTTGTCTAGCTGCTGGATTTTAATGACTCTGTAGGAGAGAGTGAGGGTGACTTTTCACAGCTCTGCCTCACTTAAATCCAATTCACAAACAAGTTATGACATCACCCTCATGATGTCACTGGTCCTTTTCAAGACTGAAGGACAAACAACAATCTGGCCTCAGATACTTCCTAGCTGCATGACCCTAGGCAAGTCATTTAACTCTGTCTGCCTCTGTTTCCTCATCTATAAAATGAGCTGAAGGAAATGGCAAACCACTCCAATATCTTTGCCAAGAAAACCCCTAAACGTGGTCACAAAGAGTTGGGCATATCTGAAAAATGACTCAACAACAACAAATATCTATTAGAATAAGTTTCCTGTGTGGTATCTTATTCATATTGTACACTTAGTGCTTTCTCTGCTTCCCCACTTTTGGGAAGGTCATAGGTGTGAACCATAAGTAGAAACTGTCTTGAGGACACCAGGATGGGGACTTAACAAGACAATGAATATGAGAAAAGGAATTCTAACCCTAGGCTCCCTGCTTGTGTCCCTGAACCTGGTCCAGACTGCATAGCTGGGTACGCAGGGGACCAACCATGTGGTTTCAGTGATGGTACCCCCCAACACACACATACAATTTAATTTAGTTATAAGTATACATGTTCCTCTCAATAGAATATAAGCTCCTTGAGGGCACAGACTTTTTTTTTTGTCTTTACCTGACACATATTAGGTGCTTATTGAATGCTTCGTGATTGATTGACTAGTTGGAACTTGTACCTTAAAAAGTCAGGAAAGCTGAGTTCTCATCTCAGCTTTACCTCTATCAAGTTATATCACATTGGGTAAGTCACCAACTAGATCATAAAATTTTACTAAATTACAAGTTCTTCAAGGACAGAGACAGTACCTAAATTAAGTTTTTACATACTGCCCCTCCATACTGTCCCCTACTGCAGAGCTCTACACATAGTAGGCATTTAATAGCTCTTTCTTGAGTTAAAAATTGAATTGAACTTTATGTCTCAGCCTCAGTTTTCTCATATGTAAAGTAAAGTAGTTTGAACTAAGGTGTCTTTCAGCACTGAGATTCAATGATCCTGACTATTCAAATGAACAGCACCAAGATGGTGGTAGATATAGTCAGAAGTGCTTTCTCATGGGCTGGGGTATTCTGGGTATTCTGGGGGACTCAATTAACCAAAACACTTATTAAGTACCTACTACTGCACCAGGCAACCTGTGACAAGGAAATATGGCAAGGCTATATGAT